ATTAAGAAGGATTTTTGATTTCATTATTAGAGTCATGCCATTTATACCGCAACAGTTAAGACCGTGTCAGCATATTCGTTATTCTTTTTCAGGGGTTTGTAATTTGGAGTGTGAATTTACTGCAGAATTGTTATGTGGTGACAAAGGGATGCTTTTACCCATGGTATCAAGAGGTGCAATTCTCTGACTGCCTAGGAAACCTGCTGATTGCAGGGACAAACCTGTTCCCAGCTGCACTGTTCCTATGTCAGAAAGCTAGATGGACACAGGGATACAATAAAGGTTTTGGAAGCATGAGTTGTACACATATACACATTTACTGTTATCAGAGGCAGCAACTCGCACCGAGCTTTAGGTCAGGGTGGGCAACCTGCACAAGTGGTATGGACAGCCTCTGTGTGGGGCACATGGGGCATCCAGGAGGGAGCAGGGTGAAAGACAGTGCAGGAAGCAGAAAGCAGAGCAGCAGAAAAGGGAATTGGAGTGGCACTCAGGGAGAGTGTGTCAGTTCATAGGAGGCCTGCCGAAAAGGTTCACCCCCACTGCTTGTGTGGATGCCTAGAAGCTTAATGATAGGGACTGAAAGTGAACTGAACTCAACATAGTTTTGGAAGGGTTATGAATTAGGTTGGGTAAGGCAGACCTTTGTGGATTCCCCCCCCCCACCCCTTCCCATATTCCATGCATTTTCCAGCCTGAATGAGAAATAAGTGTGTGCTGACAAAATAGCAGCCTTGCCAAACAGAACAACCTTTCTGCTCTATGCTTTTAGTGGCAGATGTTGTCAAAATATTTTCGGAGTCCCACCAGTCTTCAACTTCTTTCAACAGGGAAGTCATGTTCCAAACCACAGTCCCTTCTGCATCCAGGCCCCGTTGCAAATGCATGACTTACGGAGTCCCTTTACCACATTCCAATAGTTTTTACATGCTCAGGTAGAAAGGAACAAACTGTTTTCAACATTCGTGGAAGCCATGAAATAACAGGCTGCTGATGTGCAAGAAAGAAAATAAAACCTATCATGGAACAGGGACAGTAACTCCATCTAAGACCTCTAAGCTGTCATTGAACTTGGATGAATACAGCGGGAGAGCTGATCCTAAGGCATCCCCATTGTAAACCTCTCTTTTACTTCAATAAATGCTTTCCATACATCACACTTGTCAGTTTGAGGCCTAGCAAATGAGCAAAATGAGTGTTTGATTGGAAGAGGTGAAATAATGTGTATCCACAGGACAGGATAAGTATCAGGTACCTCACTTTCAGTAATTCTATACATTATTTTACTAGGAGCTTCAGAATTCCCCAAAAGGATATTATCATAGTTGGCAAGCCAAAAACACTATTTATTTATCCATTCTTGGACTTGCTCCAAATCCCAAAGAAATCAATGGAAGCCTTTTCATTCCCTTCCACAGGTTTTGAACTGGGACCTATGCCATTTAGTTTATTTTTTAGTTTTCTACAACACTCATCAGTGAAGTGTCTAAATGTTTTATAGGGAAATGAGATGTAGATCCTCAGTGGACTTCACGGACTTCAGTGTGCTTTTCCTTACAGTCTTCCTGGACTTCAGTGTGCTTTCCTCCATGCTCTGCTTCTACAAAGTTGTGTTTAGGGGATATTGTTTTTAAAGTGCAAACTTATTCCAGTTATGGTGAGAAATCTTTATCGAGCAGGAGGTACTTGGAACACATCCTAAATAAGATCAGGCTCTAGGGGACGTCCTCCTTACTCACCCTCAGCTCCAAGCTCAATAGCCCTGAGCTCCACTTAGATGGAGCAAAGACTGGAAGAAGAACCAGGCACCGGGTAACTAGGCCGCATAGAAGGTTAGCTCTGTACAAAAAGTGTATTCATTGAAATCTTACATCGGCAAACAAGGGTCGGGGGGTAGCATATGTGTACGAATCAAGCAAATAACATAGATGCTATGCC